ATTGTTATTTCCTCTCCCAGTCAGACCATGATAAAATTAATAAAAATAAATGAATTAAAGGCAGCAAAATTGTAAAAATGTGTAAAATTCAGGAAAAAAAATGAAGGAAATGAGTTTTGAAAGGGATTTTAAAGCTCCAAAAATAAATTCTCAAAAGTCTCAGCTTTTGAAATCTCCCTGCAGAGCTCCTTCCACCAGGAATGTTGGGATTTATCCTCCCATCCCAAATCCACAGGAAATGGATTTAATTCCATTAAAATTCCAGGGTAATTAGAAAATACTTGCATAATGAGGAGCTCAAAGAAATCCTGAGGAATAAAAACTCTCGAGCAAAGCAGGGTTTGAAAAAAGCAACAAAAAATACCCCAAAAAAAGGAAAAAAAATTCCTAAAAATTCCTAAAAATTCCTAAACAAATCCTAAAAATTCCTTAAAAAATCCTAAAAATTCCTAAAAAAAAATCCAAAAAAAATTTCTAGAAATTCCTAAAAAAATCCTAAAAATTCCTAAAAGAAATCCTAAAAATTCCTAAAAAAAATCCTAAAAATTCCTAAAAAAATTCCTAAAAATTCCTAAAAAAAATCCTAAAAATTCCTAAAAATGCCTAAAAAAAATCCTAAATATTTTTTAAGTCCTCCTACCTTCCTGCTTGCCCGAAATCACCTCAGCGTGGGAGTCGGAGAAGAGGAAATCGAAGTGCACGGGGATGTCGGTGAGCAGATCCTCCAGGATGGCTTTCTGCTGGCTGCAAAATTGACAGCAAGGGTTAAAAACTGCCCCAAAAAAATTAAAAAAAAACTGAAAAAAATTAAAAAAAATCCCAAAATTTAATATAAATGAAAAAAAAAACACCCCATAAACAATAAAAAAATTAAAAAATCAAAAAAAAACCCCAAAAGAATACCCAAAAAAACCTCCTAAAATCCCCCAAAAACAAAAACAATACCCAAAAATCCCCAAGAAACCCTGAAAAATGCCCCCCAAAATCCCTAAAAATCCCAAAAATTCTAAAAAATCTCCAAATAATCAAAAAAAAGGGGAAATAAAAGGCAGGAGTGACCTCTTGGGCAGGATCCTCATCCCTGCGGTGCACAGGATGTACAGAGGGGTCGCTTTGTGCTTGGCGCGGGGAAGGGTTAAAAAATGCCCCAAATACGCCCCAAAAAATCCCCCAAAAATCCCCAAAAAACAAAAAAAAAATCTCAAGAAAATCCAAAAAAAATGAAAATAAAAGGCAGGAGAGACCTCTCGGGCAGGATCCTCATCCCTGCGGAGCACAGGATGTACAGAGGGGTCACTTTGTGCCGTGGGGAAGACTTAAAATCACCCCAAAATAAAAAAAAAAAACCCCAAAATCCTCAAAAAAGCCCAAAAAATCCCCATAAAAACCTAAAAAAACCCAAAAAATGGAAATAAAAGGCAGGAGTGACCTCTCGGGCAGGATCCCCATCCCCGTGGTGCACAGGATGTACAGAACGGTCTCTTTGTGCGGTGGGGAAGGGTTAAAAAACACCCCAAATATCCCCGAAAAATCCTAAAAAACCCCAAAAAATCCCAAAAAATGGAAATAGAAGGCAGGAGAGACCTCTCGGGCAGGATCCTCATGTCCATGGTGCACAGGATGTACAGAGGGGTCACTTTGTGTGGTGGGAAAGGGTTAAAAACCACACCAAATATCCACAAAAAATCCTAAAAAAAACCCCAAAAATCCCCCCAAAAAATCCCAAAAAATGCAAATAAAAGGCAGGAATGACCTCTCAGGCAGGATCCTCATGCCCGCAGTGCACAGGATGTACAGAGGGGTCTCCTTGTGCCATGGGGAAGACTAAAAACCACCAAAGAAATCCCAAAAAAACCCAAAAAAACCCCAAAAAATCCCAAAAAATCCCCAAAAATGGAAATAGAAGGCAGGAGAGACCTCTCAGGCAGGATCCTCATCCCCACAGTGCACAGGATGTACAGAGGGGTCACTTTGTGCCACGGGAATCGTTAAAACCACCCCAAAAATCCCCCCAAAAAAAACCCAAAAAAGCTCCCCAAAATAAAAATAATGGAAACAGAAGGCAGGAGTGACCTCTCGGGCAGGATCCTCATGCCTGCAGTGCACAGGATGTACAGAGGGGTCTCTTTGTGTTTGGAGCGGGGCACGTGCTCAGCGGCGAAGCTCAGCAGAGGGGAAATGTAATCACTGACTTTATCCGGAGAGGCGGCAAACTCGGAAATCCCTGGGAAAATGGGAATGGGGTTAAAAGAATTTATTAACCCTAAACCTAAACCTAACCCTAATCTAACCCTAACTCACCCTAGACCTAATGGCACGAACTCAGAAATCCCTGGGAAAATGGGAATGGGGTTAAAAGAATTTATTAATCCTAAACCTAAACCTAACCTAAACCTAATCTAACCCTAACTCTAGACCTAATGGCGGCGAACTCGGAAATCCCTGGGAAAGGGAATGGGATTAAAAGAATTTAATAACCCCAAACCTAACCCTAAACCTAATCCTAAACCTGAACCAAAGCCAAACCCTAACCCTGACCCTAATGGTGGTGAACTCGGAAATTGCTGAGAAAAAAGGAAATTGGGCTAAAACACTTTACTAACCCCAAACCTAACCCTAAACCTAACCCTAATCTAACCCTAACTCACCCTAAAACTAATGACGACGAACTCAGAAATTCCTGGGAAAAGGGAAATGGGGTTAAAACAATTTGCTAACCCAAACCGAACCCTAAACCTAAACCAAAAGCTAAACCAAAACCAAACCCTAACCCTGACCCTAATGACGGTGAATCTGGAAATTCCTCAGAAAAAGGGAAATTGCGTTAAAACAATTTATTAACCCTAACCCAAACCCTAACCCTAAATTTTTTTTCCCAGTACCTGGTTTGATTTCCATCACTATGGGTTTCCCCTCATGTGTTTGATGTCCAGGAGATTTTGGGGACAGAAACTGCCCTTTCCTTGGAAAATCTTCCTTCCCCATTTCAAACTTTAAACCCCACAAAAATCCCAGCAAACCACTCCCAAAAAACCCTGTTCTGTGTTGGAAATACCCTTTATCCAGACACTTTGGAGTGCAGAAATGGAGAAAAATACAGAAAAATTCCCATTTTTGCCCAGTACCTGGTTTGATTTTCATCACCATGGGTTTCCGGTGGCTGCCCCTCATCTGTTTGATGTCCAGGAGATTTTGGGGACAGAAACTGCCCTTTCCTTGGAAAATCTTCCTTCCCCATTTCAAACTTTAAACCCCACAAAACTCCCAGCAAACCAATCCCAAAGGAACCTGCACCAGTTCCATGCTGGAAATACCCTTTATCCAGATATTTTGAATGCAGAAACAGAGAAAAATACAGAAAAATTCCCATTTTCCCCCAATACCTGGTTTGATTTTCATCACCACGGGTTTCCTGTGGCTGTCCCTCATCTGTTTGATGTCCAGCAGGTCGTGGGGGTTGCCGTTGTGCCGGGGCCAGCAGTACACGAACACGCGCGAGCCGCTGCTGCCGCAGTCCACCACRATCCCATAGTTCAGGTTGGGGTTCTTGGTGTCCGTGGCTTCCGTGTCCGTCACCCTGGCCAGGTATCTGGGGAAAAAATGGGAATTTTTATGGGAGTTGGGATCTGGGAGGGTGTTTCAGGCAAAATCGCGTTAAAATAGGGTATTTTTTGTGGTGGTTTTTGGGGGATTTTGGGATGAGTTGGGGTGGGAGGAAACTTTGATCCCTTCCAGGCGCAGAGCTCCATCTCTGTGTTTCCCAGGGAATTCCTTCCCTCAGAGCTCCATCTCCACATTTCCCAGGGAATTCCCTCCCACTAGAGCTCCATCTCCACATTTCCCATGAAATTCCTCCCCTCTTCCCCCCTCTGCAGAGCTCCATCTCCCATTTCCCCCTGAGCTCCATCTCTGTGTTCCCTCCCCGATCTCCCTCTCCCCATTCCTGATTCCCCCTCTCCCCCGGACCTGTGCAAGCTCCTGTCCCTCTCCCCATTCCCTCTCCCCATCCCCCTCTCCCCTGTCCCTCCCCTGACCTGTTCAGGCTTCTGTCCCTCTCCCCATTCCCCATTCCCCATTCCCTCTCCCCTCTCCCCTTTCTCCCCCATACCTATTCGGGCTCCTGTCTCTCTCCCCTCTCCCCATTCCCTCCCCTGTCCCCATACCTGTTGAGGTTCCTGTCCCATACCGGTACAGTCTCTTGTCCCTGTCCCATACCTATTGATGCTCCTGTCCCTGTCCCCTCTCCCCAATCCCCCTGTCCCATACCTGTTGACACTCCTGTCCCATACCTGACACTCCTGTCCCTATCCCATACCTGTTGATGTCCCTATCCCATACCTGTTGGCACTCCTGTCCCATACCTGTTGGCACTCCTGTCCCATACCTGTTGACACTCCTGTCCCCATCCCATACCTGTTGACACTCCTGTCCTTGTCCCATACCTGTTGACACTCCTGTCCCTATCCCATAC